AGGTGTGGTTCGAATATGTAGGAGTTGACAGTAAGGTTGTATCAAAGAGAGAGCTCCAGTTTCTCAGGATGTTGTGGGGCTGAAGAATCTAATATCAAGGACAGAAATTGTTTAAATAAAATATTTTTCTAATTATTTCTAGTCAGTTTGTATTAAAAATATCAGGTTTTTTAATTTTGGCCAGAACTGCCATCTTCCAATTAATTTGCCAAAATGACTAACACAAAGGGATAGAGGAGAGGCACACGTTATATGCGTTTTAGAAAACATGGAGTTGTTCCTTTGGCCACATACATGCAAATCTACAAGAAAGGTGATATTGTGGACATCAAGGGAATGGGCACTGTTCAAAAAGGAATGCCCCAGAAATGTTACCATGGCAAAACTGAAAGCATCTACAATGTCACCCAGCATGCAGTTGGCATTATTGTGAACAAGCAAGTTAAGGGCAAGGTTCTTGCCAAAAGAATTTTACATATTGAGCATATTAAACACTCTATGAGTCGAGATAGCTTCCTGAAACGTGTGAAGGAAAATGATCAGAAAAAGAAGGAAGCCAAAGAGAAAGGTACCTGGGTTCAACTGAAGCGTCAGCCTGCTCCCAGAGAAGCACGCTGTGAGAACCAATGGAAAGGAGCCTGAGCTGCTGGAACCCATTCCCTATGAATTCATGGCATGATAACTGGGGGAAAAATAAAAAAGACTTCTATGTTGATAAAAATGTTTCTCTTGCCCTAGCTGGTTTGGCTCGGTGGATAGAGCATCGGTCTGCGGGACTGAAGGGTCCCAGGTTCCAGTCAAAGGCACATGCCCGGGTTGCAGGCTCATCCCCAGTAGGAGCGTGTGCAGGAGGCAGCTGATCAATGATTCTCTCATCATTAATGTTTCTATCTCTCCCTCTCCTTTCCTCTCTGAAATCAACAACAAAAAATATTTTTAAAAATGTTTCTCTTAATTGAGTGGAAGTGTGGCGTCCCTTCCCCCCAACGAGTAATTAAAGAAAACTTTGTGTCGTAAAAATATATATATATTTATATGTCAGGTTTTATAAAAAATAAATTTCCAGCCCAGCAGGTGGCTCCGTTGGTTGAGCATTGAACTCTGCGCCAAAAAGGTTGTTGATTTGATTTCCTCAGGCCCCATATCTTGTTTGTGTGTCAGGCTACATAACCTTGGTTGTGGGTTTGAATCCCATATGGGAGGCAACTGATAGATGTTTCTCTTTCACATTGATGTTCTTTCTCCCGCTCCTTTTCCATCTCCCTTTCCCCTTTCCTCCCCTTCCCCCTCTCTTCCAATCTCTCTAAAAATCAATAGAAAAAGTATCCTCACTCCACGGATGAGGATTTATTTTTTTAATTAGGCACCTAGTGGTACCATGTGGTTTTAATTTGTATTTCACTAACAACTAATGAGCACATCTTTTCTTGTGCTTTGCCACTTATGTCTCTTCTTTGGTAAACTGTATGTTTTGATCTTTGACCACTGTTTTTTTAATGGGTTACTTGTGTGTTTTTATCATTGTATTTAAGAAACCTTTATATATTCTGGTTATAAGTCCTTTATTAGGCATTTTGTTTTGCAAATATTTTCTCCCAGTAAATCTGTGGCTTTTCATCATCTTAACTCTGTGTTATGAAGAGCAGGAGCTTTTAATTTTAGTGAAGTCTAGTTTTTTTCTCCTAAGGTTTGTGATTTTTATGTTCTGTTTAACAAGTCTCTTTCTAAGCCAAGATTACAAAGGATTTTGTCTATATTTTCTTTTATATAAATTTTATATTTTTAGGTTTTACATTTAGGTGTATGATCTATTTCAAGTTAATTTTTGCATGTCACATGAAGGTGGCTTTTTTTTTCATATCTACATCCATTATTTCAACATCATCTTTTTAAAAAAAAACTTTTATCAATTTTTTTGAAGGGAGAGGAAAAGAGAGAGAGAGAGAGACAGAAACATCACTGTGAGAATGAAACATCAATTGGCTGCCTCCTGCACATCCACTGCCATGCAATCCGGTCATGTGCCCTGACTGGGAATCAAACTGGCAATCTTTTGGTGCACAGATGACACTCAACAAAATGAGCCACACCAGCCAGGGCCCAACATCATTTTTTTTCCCTTGGCATTTTAGTTATGATGTGTTTTGGTGTGGTCCTCTTTTAAAAAAAAATAATAATTTTATTGATTTTTAACAGAGAGGAAGAGAGTTAGAAACATCGGTGAGAACCCTCAATCAGCTGCCTCCTACACACCCCCTAGTGAGGATGTGCCCACAACCAAGGTACATGCCCTTGACCGGAATTGAACCTGGGACCCTTCAGTCCGCAGGCCGACGCTTTAACCACTGAGCAAAACTGGTTAGGGTCGTGTGGTCCTCTTTGGATTCCTTTTGTTTGGGGTTCTCTTCGCTTCTTGGACTTACTTGTAAGTCTATTTCTTTCATTAGATAGGGGAAGTTTTCTGTCATGATTTCTTCTAATAGGCTTTTAGTATCTTGCTCTCTCTCTTCTTCTGGCACCCCCATAATTTGGATGTTGGTACGCTTGAAGCTGTCCCAGAGGCTCCTTACACTATCTTCATATTTTTGGATTCTTTTTGCTTTTCAGGATGGGTGTTTTTTGCTTTCTCGTATTTCAAATCTTTGACTTGATTCTTGGGATCCTCTAGTCTGCTGTTGGATCTCTGTATATTATTCTTAATTTCAGTCAGTGTATATTTAATTTCTGACTGGTCCTTTTCCATTTTTTTGGCATTCTCATTAATATCCGTGAAGGTCTCATAAAGTATACACGTTTTCACAAAATGTTCTTTTTTCAGTCGTCGACGAGTATACTCGTCTAAAAACTTTACCTTCAAAAACCAGCTACATACGTACCATTGTGTCACGTATGGATGTGAGGAGTTGAAAGATGGTATCTGACCACTGGGTACACTGGCTCCTGGATTTCCAAGGAGGTGCAAAGTCAACCCCTGTGTGAGGCCACCCAGCAGGAGCTACAGTGATATCACCAGATTTCTCCTCTTTGTTTGGGGTTTGGAAGTTTTGGAGTTCTCTGACCCAGCTGCAGTTTGTTAGGTTAGGCTGCAAAAGGTCAGGCGGTTCCTTTGCCCTGCTTGGGTGGGGATGTAAATTGAGTGGGGCAGAGCAAACAGCAAGGGCTGTCATCAGCCCTCTCCGCAACTCCTCATGTCTCCGAGTCTCCGAGTCCTGCGCCCTACAGTAACAGTGATCCCTGCGAGCAGCTCTGCGAGGAAGCCACCCTGGCTTTCCGACCCGCTGCAAGACAGTCCAGTTTCTCCCCGTAGGAGTCTGGGTCCCCAGAGTCTCCCGTAAACAAGTTCAGTGTATTCGAAAGCTTGTATCCCCTTCCGATTGAAAAAAACCATGCACCCAGGTGCAGCCCACCTTGCTCGTGCCTCCGTACCTCTGCTCTTGGCACATCTGCATCTCCTACCCAGTCTCAATGCACTTTTTTCTTTCCTTCTAGTTGTAGAACTTCCACTTGGCCAGCTTTCCCGTGGTTCTGTATGATAGCTGTTTTGTCTTTTAGTTGTAGTTATAATGTGGTTGTGGGGGGCAGCACGTACAGGTTTATACTTTATGCCGCCATCTTGGTTCTCCCCCCAACATCATTTTTTGAGAAGGCTGTTCTTTCTCCATTAAATTACATAGTTGTCTTTGTCAGAGTCAGCCAAAAATATATGTGTAGGTCAGACATTCTTTTCTGTTCAATTGACCTATATGTCTATCCTTTCTCCTGTAGTCTTCTACTTTTAGGTAAGAAACATCTATATGTATTTTATATTGTACTTACTTATGAGATTTAAATAATGCAGTAAACCAACTACCTGTTACCAAAGAATATTAGGTAATTGAATAATTATTGAGCTGTGAATTTATTTGTAATCAGTTCTTTCATTTGCCTATGGTAATGCACTAAAACTGAGAACATTTTGTTCAGATGTAACCAATGAGAACTGTCATACGCAGCTATTAGAAGTATAAATTGGTACAAGCACTCAAAAAGCAGTTTGTAGGTTTCTCATGAGTAGAGAATAAGTGATGAGCTGTGATCCATCAATTCTACTTCTTAAGCATATACCCTAGAGAAATTGGCACATATGCATAAGGGGACAGGCACAAGAACATTTATTGCAGCCTTATTTGAGATGTTGAAACACTGGAAACAACCTAAGTATCTTTTATTTAGGTTGTTGAATAAATTATAGGATGATATAGGATACTATACAGAAGTCAAAAAGAATGAATTAAATCTCTATATAGCAAATAAGATCTTAAACAATGCAGTGCCGACTGGTGTGGCCTAGTTGGTTGAATGTCATACCATACATCAGAAGGTTGCATTGACCTCTGAACCAGGAGGTCATGGTTCAATTCCAGATCAGGGCACATGCCTGGGTTTGTGGCTTGATCCCTAGTAGAGGGTGTGCAGGAGGCAGCCGATCGATGATTCTCTTTCATCATTGATGTTCCTATCTCTCTCTCCTTCTCCTTTCCTCTCTGAAATCAATAAAAATACTTTTTTTTTTAAAGATGAAAGTCGGGGAGATTAAATTCAGGTCATTTACATTGGCCTCCTTTCTGCATAAGACTTCCTTCATTGAAGCCTATGTCCACCTCTTGGAGATTCACAAATATGTTAAGATGCTAACGATACTGAGAAGTCATATAGTAATAGTTTTCAAATTTATTTTATCACAAGCTTCTTTTTCTTTTCTTTTTTTTTTTTAAATATATTTTATTGATTTTTTTTAAAGAGAGGAAGGGAGAGAGATAGAGAGTTAGAAACATCGATGAGAGAGAAACATCGATCAGCTGCCTCCTGCACATCTCCTACTAGGGATGTGCCCGCAACCAAGGTACATGCCCTTGACCAGAATTGAACCTGGGACCTTTCAGTCCGCAGGCCGACACTCTATCTACTGAGCCACACTGGTTTCGGCACAAGCTTCTTTTTCATGTATACCTAATAACAGAATGCTTTGGGAGATATTTAGTGTGTTCTTTATACTTGTGATATATACAGATAATTATTTCTCTTTTAAAGCAGGACAAAAGGAGCAAGCTGTGGAATGGTATAAGAAAGGTATTGAAGAACTAGAAAAAGGAATAGCTGTCATAGTTACAGGACAAGGTAAGGTTATATTTACATTTGTTTAGGAGCCATCAGATTATATTCACAATGCCTTGATTTTAGATCCATTTGTCTTAATAAAACTATTTAAACGTTTTTAAAAACGTAATTTTTAAATGTAATCAGCCTATGTTAATGTTTGTAGACTTAAAGTTCATGTGTTTTTATCTAGGCAGAAATAAAGTTATAACCAGAAATGCTCAAACTTGATTGATTGCCTGTAGTAGTCAGGCAAAAAAACAGTGTATTACTTGTGTCCTTGGACCTGCTGTTAGTGATGTTTTAGCCTTATATTTAGCCATATTTTTTTTTGGTACCAATTTTCACTATAACAGTTTCACTTTCCTACAGTAAGAAAAGGGTTGACTAATTATACCTGGGTGCTGTGTGCAGGTACACACACGTGTGCTTCTTTTTTCTTTTTATTAAAATAAAGTTGATATAATATACCTGGGTGTCTTTGATCTTAACCTGCCTCCAAGTGTGATACCTTTCTTCCCACCCAAAATATTAATCTATAGTCATATTTTTGAAATCTTTCTACATTGTTGAGGCAGTGGGGAGTGGTTAATCTACAGACTCCCCTTTTCACTTGTATTGCTTGGCTGCATGTTAGAGTGTGCACTATAAGTGTTTTACTTTGATTCACATTTGTCTTTTTAAAACCAAAGTAGCTATGTCATATCTTTACTTTCCTATCATCTAAATTAAAAAATTGTAGGGTAAGAAATAAGTTTCAAAATTCATGGAATACCACAGTAGATCTGAAACCAGCATATAGAACTGTAGCTTATTTTTTGAAAGTTATTAATTGAAAATAATATTTTATTAATTTTTAAGATATGTTTTTACTAGCTGGTTGCTCAGTGGTTAGAGCATCGGACTGTGGACTGAAGGGTCTCGGGTTCAATTCCAGTCAAGGGCATATGCCTGGGTTGCAGGCTCGATCCCCAGTAGGGGTGTGCAGGAGGAAGCCAATCAATGATTCTCATCATGGATGTTTCTGTCTCCCTCTCCTCCTTACTTCTCCTTTTTATATATATATATATGTATATCCATCCACTGAGCCAAACCGGTTTCGGCTCCTTCTTTGAAATCAATAAAAATGTATTAAAAAGTATATATGTTTTTATTGATTTTTACAGAGAGAGAAAGGGAGAGAGATAGAAACATCAATGAGAGAGAAATATCACCAATGTTTTTTTCTCCTGCACACCCCCACTGGGGATTAAGCCCTAAACCTATGCCTGTGCCCTGACTGGGAATCGAACCAGTGACCTCTTGGTTCATGGGTGGATGCTCAACCACTGAGCCACACTGGCCAGACTTTTCTAAATTCTTTTTATAAAGACTCTGACTCCCCATGATATTAGGTGGGCTAATATTTTATCTTGAAGCAATATTAGTAAGGAAACATAGGTATTTTAATTCCTTTTTTTTTTCTTTTCTTTTCTTTCAGGTGAACAATGTGAAAGAGCTAGACGCCTTCAAGCTAAAATGATGACTAATTTGGTTATGGCCAAGGACCGTTTACAACTTCTAGGTATCAATGAATTTTATAATTGGAATGAATTGTATCTGAAATGTGTGTTCATTGAAACGTTTAATGTAGATGGAAATAGATGAATGATCTTGATAATGTGATCTAGGCTTTTTTCTTATAGAAAAGTTCTAACATGCAAAATAGAAGAGTATAATGATAATTATCCATCACTTAGCTTTAATAACTATGAGCCCATAGTCTTTTTCTTTTTTTTTGCTAGCATGTGATGCGTATTTTATTGCTATTTTTCAATGCATTAATAAGTACATAGTTAAAGTTTTTTTTAGTTTACCCCATAGTCTTGATTTATCTATACCAAAGGCTTGTAAATTACAGCCCATGAGCTAATCCCAGTTCACTGCCCATTTTTATGAATTGGCACACAGCTACTCTCATTTCTTTCTTTCTTTCTTTTTTTTTAAATATATATTTTATTGATTTTTTTACAGAGAGGAAGGGAGAGGGATAGAGAGTTAGAAACATCAATGAGAGAGAAACATCGATCAGCTGCCTCCTGCACACTCCCCACTGGGGATGTGCCTGCAACCAAGGTACATGCCCCTGACCGGACTCAAACCTGGGACCCTTGAGTCTGCAGGCTGACGCTCTATCCACTGAGCCAAACCGGTTAGGGCAACTCTCATTTGTTTATACACTGGCTGCTTTCATGCTACAGTGACAGAGTTAAATAGTTGATACAAAGATCATATGACTCTCAAATACAAGATATAGCTTTTTAAATATATATATACATTTTTATTGATTTCAGAGATTAAGGGAGAGAGAAATTGAAACATCAATGATGAGAAAGAATCATTGATCGGCTGCCTTCTGTACGTCCCACACTGGGGATCGAGCCCACAACGCAGATATATGCCCTGACTAGAAATCAACCAACTAAGCCACATCGGCCAGGGCAAATTTTCCTTTTAAGTAGATGATTGTATGGGGATTGCAAGTGAAAGGATCAAGAAACAAGATTACTGTTTTATTTTAAATTATTGATTGCACAATGTTTAGTCATTCTAAAAAGAAGCGTTAAACTAAGTTTACATTCTTGAACAAAAATGAATAGGAACAGGTTCACACTAGCAGTGTACTGCTACTATGTACGTGTGTGTGTGTTTCCATGCATTTAAAGGGTCCTGGATTCGATTCTGGTCAAAGGCGCATACCTTGGTTGCAGGCTCCTCCCTGACCTGGGCCCTGGTTGGGGCTTGGGCAGGAGGCAACCAATTGATGTGTTTCTCTCACATCAATGTTTCTCTTTGTCATTCCCTCTCTCTCCCAGTCTCTTTGAAAACTAATGGGAAAATATCCCCCGTCCTAGTTATTATCAAAGCTAAGGATTTAATTTCTGATTATTTTTACTGTATAATGAATGTTTATGTGAACTTTTGTTACATTCCATTGAAGAGAGTGTTAATAAAGAAGACATTTACAAATCAGTTTTATAATTTATATTACTTATATTATTTTTTAAATTGACTTTTAGAGAGAGGAATGGAGAGGGATAGAGAGAAACATTGATGAGAGAGGAATATCATCGATTGGCTGCCTCCTGCACGCTCTCTACTGGGGATTGTGCCCACCAGAAATTGAACCTCTGACCTCTTGATTCCTGGGTCAGCCCTCAACTGCTGAGCCATACTGGCCAGGCTCTAATTTATATCTTTTGCCAACACAAAAGGTTCCTTCTCAGTATGGTGATTTGAACAGTATTATCATTGAGAAAAATCAGATGACCTACCTGTTAACTAACAAGAACAACAAAAACCCCAGCTCTGAGGTATATTCTGTCATCCGGTTCTAGGATACAAAAGCTGTGCAGTACTTTGTGCTTTTTGCAAAAAGGGTAGCTGCTATTTAACCTGTCCCAAAAGCATGTGTGGTATACCATAAACCAAGCATGATGCCTACTTGTCTAACCATAGAAATGGAAGTTTAGGAGAGTTAGTATATATGTGGTATATTTGTGCATGTATTCATTGACTTTCTAATATTGAAGAAAATAATCAGTTATGATAACTTGGAATGTTTCAACAATATTAATGTAAAAATTGAGCCTCTGTTGTGACTGACAGAGGGTAGGTACTTTATGTATATATGTATATACTCAGTGAATTCATGCACCAATGGGGTCCCTCAGCCTGGCTTGTGTGATCAGGCTGAGACCAGCTCTCCTACATTCCCTGTGGGGTCTCGGATTGCAAGAGGGTGCAAGCCAGGCTAAGGGACCCCACCGGTGCACGTTGGAGGAATGTGGAAGGTTGACCAGCCAGGGAGGGACCTCAGGAGAGCTCCAGGACATGTCCAGCCAGTCTCGCTCACCCATCAGCCGGGCCCCAGCAGCAAGCTAACCTAACAGTTGGAGCATCTGCCCCCTGGTGGTCAGTGCACGTCATATTATATCATTAGCATATTATGCTTTGATTGGTTGAGCAGATGACTGGACACTTAGTATATTAGGCTTTTATTATATAGGATTTTATTTAATCCTTGAGACCATCAGAAAACTGAAGCTAAAGCAAGTTAATGCTAGTAAGTGGTAGAGCAGGATGTTTGTCAACTAGCAGTATTGATTGACTTGAATTGGGAAAAAGAGTGCAGCAGTGATGTAGGGTGGCAAGGAATTTCAAACCGCTACCCTCTTGAGCTTCAGGTGCTAGGTAGGCCTATTCCTAGATCATGAGAGAAAATTTGTTGTTATTTGAAGTAGGGATAGAATTGAAATAATCCTTTTATATTTTAGGTTAATTTTTAAAATAGGTGATACAGGCACATGCCACAAAAGTTTAAGTATAAAAATCAATCATCCCATAATATTCTCCAACCACTCCTTTCCCTTCCCCAGGGGCAGCTGCTGTCACCAGTTTCTCTGTATCCTTTTTTTTAAAAAAATACATTTTATTGATTTTTTTTACAGAGAGGAAGAGAGAGGGATAGAGAGTTAGAAACATCGATGAGAGAGAAACATCAATCGGCTGCCTCCTGCACACCGCCAACTGGGGATGTGCCCGTAACCAAGGTACATGCCTTTGACCGGAATCGAACCTGGGACCTTTCAGTCCGTAGGCCGACGCTCCATCCACTGAGCCAAACCGGTTTGGCTCTCTGTATCCTTTTTATTGATTTTATAAAGAGGAAGGGAGAGGAATAGAGAGCTAGAAACTCTATGAGAAACATCAATCAGCTGCCACCCATACGCCCCCTACTGGGGATTGAGCCTACAACCAAGGTACATGCCCTTGACCAGAATCGAACCAGGGACCTTCAGTCTGAGGTCTGACGCTCTATGCACTGAGCCAAACTGGTTCAGGTTCTCTGCATCCTTTTTACAGATAATCTTTGTGTATAGTACTAATTCTCCCCTTATGGTTTTGTTTTGTGTAGTTTCAGTTACCTGCAATCAATTTCAATCTAAAAATATTAAATGGAAAATTCCAGAAAGAATCAGTGTATAATTAAATTGCATGCTGTTCTGAGAAGCATGATGAAATCTCAAGTCTTCTCACTCTGTCCCTTTGTAAATCATCCCTTTGTCCAGCACATCCACACTATTTGCTACTTGCCTATTAGTCACTTAGTAGCCGTCTCAGTGATCAGATCAGTTTTTAGAGAGAGACCACATTCATATAACTTTTATTACAGTATATTGTAATTGTTCCATTTTGTTAGTTATTGCTGCTAATCTGTTACTGTGCCTAATTTGTAAGTTAAACTTTATTATAGGTGTGTTTGTATAGGAAAATCCATAGTGTATGTAGGGTTCGGTACTATCCGTGCTTTCAGGGATCCACTGGGGGTCTTGGAATGTATCCCCTGCAGATAAAGGGAGACTACTGATACAAGTGTGCACAAATAAATGGTAAGGTATTAAACACAGTTCTGAAGCATGCTTTAGCCATTCTGCTTTATTGCCTTTATCTTTTGCTTGACATGTGTTAAGGTAATTGAATATGGCACTTTTTAGACACTCCTTGTAGTTTCCTTCTGTGTCATTTTAAGTACCATTCTTTTCTGAAATGTCCTTTTTATCTTTTCAAATCCTAGCCAACTCACAGACCACTTTTTCTGGAAAGCCTTTTTAATGTTCTCTTTCTTTTATACTATACAATCTCTTTTTTAAAAAAAATTTGTGTTGTAAGTTGCCAATTACCCTATCTAATAAAGAGGGGAATATGCTAATTGACCCTCACACTGTCACAAAGATGGCAGCACCCACAGCCAATAAAGAGGGAATATGCTAATTGACTGCCCTTCCCTCAAAGATGGTGGCACCTACAGCCAATAAGGAGGGAATATCTAATTGACTACCCTGCCCTCAAAGATGGCGGTGCCCACAGCCATAAGATTGCAGCGTCCAGTCCCCTCAGCCCCACCAGGAGAGGCAGGCGCGCATCAAGGCCAGGCCTGCCCCTAGGCTGGCCCAGCCACTCCATGTGCATGCCTCCAGAGACCCCCAGTCCCCTCAGTCCCACAGCAGTCCAGGGCCAGCCCAAGGCACAGGCAAGCTCGAGGCTCAGGTAACCAGGGCCGGCCAAGGCTTGCACTGCCGGCATTGGCAGCAGCAGAGGTGTGATGGGGCATCGCCCTCCCCTGATTGCCAAGTCACCACCCGCCTCTGAGGGCTCCCGGATTGTGAGATGGGGCAGGCTGGGCTGAGGGACCCCTTCCAGTGCATGAGTTTTCATGCACTGGGCCTCTAGTCTATAATAATAAAAGTGTGATATGCTAATTAGACCGGACAGCCAAACATCATTCCTGACTTCGGGACGAAGCCGCTGCAGCGGGGGCTGAGGCAGAGGCGGTTAGGGGTGATCAGGCAGGCAGGCGAGCAGTTAGGGGTGATCAGGCAGGCAGGCAGAGTGGTTAGGGATGATCAGGCAGGCAGGCGAGCAGTTAGGGATGATCAGGCAAGCAGGCGAATGGTTAGGAGCCAATGAGGCTAAACTGTCAGTCGTTAGGGGCAATCAGGCAGGCAGGCGAGCAGTTAGAAGCCATCGGGCCTAAACTGGCAGTCGGACATCCCCTGAGGGGTCCTGGATTGCAAGAAGGTGCAGGAACCTAGGCTGAGGAACCTCCCTCTCTTGCATGAATTTTGTGCACCAGGCCTCTAGTATTTAATAAATATATGGATGGTATAAACCATATTCATTTATTTATCTCCATGCTGCTCTTTCTACCCAATGACTTGGACATACTAGATTTTCAGAAAATATTTGCTGGTGATAATAGTGATATGGAACTGCCTCAGGTTACCAAACCTGAATAAGGCATATTTTTAACATAGCCATTCATTTGCTAATTTCTGTTGCTATTTTAATGTCTGAGTTTTTACTAATTATATTTTTAGGAGAATTTTATAAAAATGCAAGACCCTTCATCATGTAACAGTCTCGTAACACTTTTAACTCATTTTTCATTTTCACATGTATCATTATGTTCATTATGTATTTTTTATTTTTGTTTATTCTTTCTTACCCCCCTCTGTTGCATAGAGAAGCTGCAACCAGTTTTGCAATTTTCCAAATCACAAACTGACGTCTATAATGACAGTACTAACTTGACATGCCGTAATGGACAGCTCCAGTCAGGTGGGTTTAGGTTAACTAACATGTAAAATAATAAAGTTTGCATGCAAAGTAAAGTCCCACTTAACCTGATAATGTTGATTTGATTTTATAGCGGTAGTTTTGATTGTTTTTTGTTTGCACAGGGCTATGTTGAAAATACAGTATCCCTATCATTCATATATAAACATGTAACAAATAAGATATAGCCATTATCAATGTGCTTTTTTGCAACCTCTAATTTTTCAAATCATAAAATACAAAGACTTATTTTTCTAAGTTTAAATTATTCTTTGTTTCTATTGTATTTTTAGCTTTTGTAGTTTTTTCCATGGGTAGCTAAACCAGGTTTTTATGAAGAGGTGGTTTTGTAAGATAAATTTTTATTTTTCTTATAAATCAGTTTTCATGTATGCTATACATGAATGTCTTTTTGGTTTTTTTAAATATATTTTATTGATTTTTTACAGAGAGGAAGGGAGAGGGATAGAGAGCCAGAAACATCGATGAGAGAGAAACATCAATCAGCTGCCTCCTGCACACTCCCCACTGGGGATGCGCCCGCTACCAAGGCACATGCCCTTGGCCAGAATCGAACCCGGAACCCTTCAGTCCGCAGGCTGACGCTCTATCCACCGAGCCAAACCAGCCAGGGCTATACATGAATGTTTTATCATAATACCTGCTAGAAAAAATTTGAAGCTGAATTCACAAAGTGAGGAGAAACACTGGAGTACTATTTTTTATTATGGGTTAAATTTGTTTTTCATGAACTTTCAGGTATGAACTCTTACAGAACATTAAATGCTTTTTAAATTTTGTTTTGGTGGGAAGAATCTTCCTTTCCTAGGTTCTCTGACATCTTGGTCAGTTTTATTGGTGACTTATTCAACATTAGTTTCATGTCCGGAGCTTAAATTTTATTGATGTAATTATTGCTTTGTGTAAATTAAAAAAAAAGGAAGAAACACCCTTAGTCCACACTGTAAGACCACTGCCTTCTTTATTCATATGCAATACAAAACTTACAAGATTTCAAAAGAGAAAAGTTAGTGTAAGTGGATTTCTATAGATGAAAGAGACAGTTGGTCATTAATTAAATCTTTCCCTGTGGTTTCAGTGATCCCTTAGATTTTTCACGTAGGTTTGATTTCCAGTTCAGAGCTCTGCATCAGTAGCTATATTTCTCTTCTCATTTCTTCCTGTACCTGACTTAAAATAACATTTCAAGTATAGAGATAAGTATTTTATCTGTTTCTCTTAGCACTGCTGTGAAACGCTGACATTTTCATAAAAAACTTTTTGAAAAGAAAGAAATGTAAGAATTTACCACATATAAATAGTTAAGCTTCCAAAGTACAGATTTGAGATCCTAATAATCCTACCAGGATAAACGGCAAAAATTTCCTGGCCTTGAAAAGCTTATATGCATTCCTGTTGTTGTCTAGATTCTCTTTACTTCATTCCACGTGCGTGGTCCCCTTATATTTTTCTGCCAAGCAAAATTTTTATTTATTTATTAAATAAATTATATATGCTGGTTGATTTTTTTTTTAAATATATTTTGCCCCAGCTGGTTTGGCTCAGTGGATAGAGCTTCGGCCTGCAGACTAAAGTGTCCCAAGTTCGATTCCAGCCAAGGGCACATGCCCACGTTGCGGGCTCGAGCCCCAGTGTGGGGCATGCAGGAGGCAACCAATCAATGATTCTCTCTCATCATTGATGTTTCTATCTCTCTATCCCTCTCCCTTCCACTCTGAAATCAATAAAAATATTTAATAAATTCAATAAATAAATAAATGTTTTTTATTGGTTTTGGAGAGGGAGAGAGATGCAAATATCAGTGATTAGAGAGAATCGTTGATTTGCTGCCTCCTGCAGGCCCCACTCTGGAGATCGAGCCCACAACCTGACTGGGAATCAAACTGACCTCCCAGCTGGGCCCATTGCTTGATCATTGTTTGTGACCTGACCCGGGATTGAACCTGCAACCTTTGCATATGGGTATTACGCTCTAACCAACTGAGCTACTTAGTTTTTATTATTACTTTTATAATGTTAAACCACAATTTTCTAACCATAGCGATTTTACTGTTTCCTTAATAGAAAGTGGAGCAGTTCCAAAAAGAAAAGATCCCTTAACACACCCTAGTAATTCGCTGCCTCGTTCAAAGACAGTTATGAAAGCTGGATCCACAGGTCTTTCAGGCCACCACAGAGCACCCAGTTGCAGTGGCTTATCCATGGTTTCTGGAGTGAGACAGGGTCCTGGTCCTGCAACTGCCACTCATAAGGTATTTGGAGATAGAATTGCAAATAGAAAAATTTCAACATGATGTGCTTGCTTCAGTTTATTACAAGTACTTTATGATACCTTAAAGCAGTGGTTCTCAACCTTCCTAATGCCGCGACCCTTTAATACAGTTCCTCATGTTGTGGTGACCCCCAATTACATTGTTACAAATTGAACATAATTAGAGCAAAGTGATTAATCGCAAAACAATATGTAATTATATATGTGTTTTCCGATGGTCTTAGGCAACCCCTGTTAAAGGGTCGTTCGACCCCCAAAGGGGTCGCGACCCACAGGTTGAGAACCGCTGCCTTAAAGGATTGATTTGTTTCCATAAAACTAAATATAATTTTTCTTAAAAAAAAAATCAGGGCAACTTGCTGTTAAAAAGCATATCTTATTTTACCTCCTTTTGATCCTAATTAGGCTTTATTTATAGTTAGTTTGCTTATCCACTTTTATATAATGCTATGTAGTTAGTTCATTTTAATTTCATTATTCTTTTAATTATTTAAATCTATATAAATGTTTTGTAACATTAAACATACATACAGTTCTAACAAGGATCAAAATTACATGATTGCATTGATATAGAGCCTTTTTACCTTTAGTAACTAAATCTCTGGATAAAATCCTCTATTAACCTACTGCATGCCAAATGTACTTCTTTAGTGAATACCATTGGAGTAAATATACATTTAAAAAATGTTTATATTTTTGAATCTCTGTGAACTTTAAAGTTAATTCACTTGTGAAAAATGTAAATGTTAGGTTGTATTTTCACGTTAAAACTTGTTTCCTTTAAGAGTACACCAAAAACAAATCGAACAAATAAACCTTCAACCCCTACAACTGCTGCTCGTAAAAAGAAAGACTTGAAGAATTTTAGGAACGTGGACAGTAACCTTGCTAACCTTATAATGAATGAAATTGTAGACAAGTAAGTTTTGCCATCTGAACTATTTTGTTTTACAGTTTCTATTTTTGAATCTTATTTATAAAATGTATCATGAGTGAAATAGTTAAATACTTGTCTAATTTACATATTTAGTTCTTATAATGGTTTTTAATTATTATACAGTACATGTAGAAAATGATTGTTTTATTGATTACCTATAGTTTTCACAGTTAACATAAAATGACCATGTTTCATAGACCATAAACTGTATTTTATAATAACTGAAGCATATTTCTATTGTGGAGATAATTGAAATTCTGTTTCTTAGTGGAACGGCTGTTAAATTTGATGATGTAGCTGGTCAAGAATTAGCAAAACAAGCATTACAAGAAATTGTCATTCTTCCTTCTCTGAGGCCTGAGGTAAGGGTTATATGTTATTATTTTCTGTAACATCAGCTATTACTGAATCTGTAGTAACATTAAAGAAATGTTTGAGCTATGCTAGAATGATTAATTCATATCACAGTGGATATTTTTAGGGCAGGGAAATGATTATGTATGATACTGTAATAGTGGATTACATGATACAAACAGTGAACCCTAATGTAAACTATGGACTTTAGTTAATAATAATGTATCAGTATTGGTTCATTACTTAAAATAAGTGTACCACACTAATGCAGGATGTTAATAATGGGAGAAATGGGAGGTTAGGAGTTATACGGGAACTCTGTACTTTTCCATTCAATTTTCTGTAAGCCTAAAACCTCTAAAAAAATATATAATTTTTTAAAAAAGTTTAGTATCATCCACTTCAAATGCTTCAACACCTTGCCTGGCTAGGATGGTTCATATTGGTTGAGCATCATTCCATGTACAAAGAGGTTGCCGGTTCGATCGCTGGTCAGGGCACATTCCCCAGTTGACAGCTGGATCCTCAGTAGGGAATGTGTAGGAGTCAGCTGACAGTGTTTCTCTCTCATCAATGTTTCTCTCTCTCTCTCTCTCTCTCTCTCTATCTCTCTCTCTCTCTCTCGAATTAATAAAAACATATTTTGGCGCAGGGAGTTCATACACCTTCACTATTAATTGAAGTGTTATCAGCCTGGTGATTCACCGTTGACTCTTGCTAAACCCAGTGTCCCTGAGTCTGGAGACTCTGGTTTAATTTCTCTAGAATAAAACCTGTACCTGCTTTGGTTATGGAAGAGGAATACTTGCCTAAGTGCTGTTGGTGGGGCTGGGAAAAGGCTTACAGGAACATATGTTCAGTTCTTCATACAAACTTTTAATCATTTCTGTTTTGGGCTGCCTACCTTACTGATGCTTTCTCTGGTACCCGATGCCTCCACTTCCTGAGCTTTTCCAGGGTTTTTTGTTCATACTAGAGGCCTAGTGCATGAAATTCATGCACTGGGTGGGGGGGGCGGTCCTTCAGGCAGGCCTGCGCCCTCTCGCAGTCTGGGACCCCTCGCTCCTTACCGCTCGCCTCCTCACTGCTCCTTAGCGCTGCCCTGGAGACAGGAGAGGCTCCCGCCACCGCTGCTGCGCTTGTCAGCCATGAGCCTGGCTTCTGACTGAGTGGCACTCCCCCTGTAGGAGCGCACTTACCACCATGGGGCAGCCAGGGAGCCCTCGGGGGATGTCCAACTAAAGGCTTAGGCCCCCAGGGGATTGGGTCTAAACCGTTAGTTGGACATTCTTAGTGCTGCCACGGAGGTGGGAGAGGCTCCTGCCACCACCTCTGCGCTGGCCAGCCATGAGCTAGCTTCTGGCTGAGTGGCACTCCCCATATGGAAGTGCACTGACCACCAGGTGGCAGCTCCTGCATTGAGCGTCTGCCCCCTGGTGGTCAGTGCGCATCATAGCAACCTGCCATTCTGCCAGTCAGTCGATTTGCATATTAGGCTTTTATTATATGGGATCAGCTTGCTCCTTGTATCTAGCTATCCCTCCACAAGCAGGCACTTAGATTTTAGCTCCCTCAGCTCTGCTAAATAACTTACCACACGTTATGAATTTTCCATCTACTAACATTTGTTGTGCCCTGTGTTGTCTCCTTTCCCATTCCTTCTATTCTTTTTCTTTTGAAGATTTTTATCTTTTTACTCATTTACTATTATTTTGGTGAGATTTCTAAAGGAAGTAAAGAAGCATACCTATGTTCAATAATATGGCTTGTTCAACAAGTTAGCTTTCATTTTGATCAATGAGGATTTGGTTTTATTTTATTTTCTTCTGTTTTTAATAATTATACTAGTTTATTGTGTTCTCTTTAGAGCTCTGGGCAGCTCTGTTTTGGAGGATGCTACTGAAAATAGTCCTTTTTAGATGACAAATAATTTTTAAAATGCCTGGAAAAAGTATCTTCAGAATCATAATTGTGTGTATATGTTTAAGTTGTTTACAGGGCTTAGAGCTCCTGCCAGAGGATTGTTACTCTTTGGTCCACCTGGAAATGGGAAAACAATGCTGGTAAGAATTCTTCTTAAATTTGAATGTTCTATTAAGATATTAGGGCTAATAATTTTGAATAATTTTACATTGTCCCTGAACCTATTGTGATTTTTTAAAAATTTATCTTTATTATTGGAAGTATTATAAATGTCACCTGAGTCTACTATGTATGACTTGCTTTTTTTAAAATATATTTTTATTGATTTCAGAGAAGAAGGGAGAGGGAGAGACAGATAAGAACATCAGTGATGAGAGGGAATCATTGATTGACTGCCTCCTGCATGCCCCCACAAGGGATCAAGCCTGCAACTTGGGCATGTGTCCTTGGCCAGAATTGAACCCAGGAACCTTCGGTCCACAGGCCGATGCTGTATCCACTGAGCCAAACCGGCTAGGGCTATGACTTGCTTTTTGTTAAAATATACTTTTCTAAATTTTTAAACTAGTTTTCAATGACAAAATAGATGGAAAACCATACATATTATTTTCAGTAATATGTTTGGGCAAATTAAATTTAATAGTGTAATTTTTTTTTAATATATGTTATTGAGTTTTTACAGAGAGAGGAAGGGAGAGGGATAGAGAGTTAGAAACATCAACGAGAGAGAAACATCCATCAGCTGCCTCCTGCACACCCCGCACTGGGGATGTGCCCGCAACCAAGGTACATGCCCCCGATGGGAACCGAACCTGGGACGCTTGAGTCCGCAGGCCGACGCTCTATCCACTGAGCCAAACCGGTCAGGGCTAATAGTGTAATTTTTATTATTTTCCCAATTTAAATAACATTTTTACCTTAGAAGAACTTACTATATTGAGCATCTTCCTAATCCTTGACTTTTTTTTATCTTAACAGCTTTGTTTAAATAATCAACATGATACAGACTTTTTTCCTTTTTTTAAATTGAAGTATAATTGACACACAACAGATTTTTTTTTCCTAATTACCTTTTGCCAAAAGTTACTAGGATGTGGATACCTCTTTCTTCTGCATAGCTAGATATTCTAGAGGGAAAAAGTAAGGAAAGAGTAACTTTTTTCTTAGCTGTTTATCTTTCTCTAGTTATCTTTCTATAACTAGGAAGAGAATAACACCCCCCCCTTTTTTTTTATTTTTCACCTCTCCCTATCTGTTTTCCCTTAGGAAAAGAAGGGAGTGGAAAGAAGCACAGCCCTTCATAGATTTTTCTGCTCATTGCTTAGAAGGGAACACATTGCCATATACTAGTACTGGGGACTGTTCCATGCCTTATATTTTTAGAAATTCTTTTCTTGTACTTAAGTTGATCAGATGTATTTATTATTTTAAAGCAAGTTATGGAACTAATATAATATTTGCCCTTATGATTTTTAAAGGCTAAAGCAGTAGCTGCAGAATCTAATGCAACCTTCTTTAATATAAGTGCTGCAAGCTTAACTTCAAAATATGTGAGTATTTTTTCCAGTATTTTCATGTTTTAAGTTACTGTTTAAATGTTAATGTTAAATGTAAATGGTAATACCATACACCAAAATACTTGTCTGTGAGTTTTATACCTATTATTCAGAGATGATGAATATCACTCTTCGTAGTAGAAAACCATGTACATTTTATTAAATTCTTTTAAAATTAGAATTGTTCTGTTAAATACTAGGGCTGTGTAACAAAGTACCATAAACTGGTTGACTTAAACAACAGAAATTTATTGTCTTACAGTTTTGGAGGCTAGAAATCCAAGATCAGATATTGGCAGGGTTCTCAATTGTGTAAAGTAATTAAAAGTAACTATAAAACAATACCTCTTTTCCTGGTTACATTTTGTTTCCTATGTGAAATTCTGTTAGTAAAATTGTTATTAATGTAGGTTTATCCACCTTATAAACACTGTCTTGGAAGCTGGAAGAATGGGATTCCAATCTAGCTTTTACATTTAGAGCAGGCCTTAAAGTATCACTTCAGGCCTTACTTCATTCATAAAGTGTTAATGTCATAACAGGTGACCTCTCAGCCTGCACCCTTGAAACTCTGAGCCTCAGTTTCTCTTGTAAAATGGGGACAGTAACGTCACATACTTGATAGAGGGGCCTGACAAATGAGGAGTGAGTGGGAGCAGTCAGCCCTCGCTGGCACAGGGAATCACTCAGCAGAACTATAGCTGTCATTTTCAGTGCATCTTCACACCTTGGGATTAGTGGAGGAGGAAGTGGATTGGAACCCATGGCCACCGAGTGCTCAGACCTTTGTTACTCAGGAAACGCCATCCTTCACAGTGATGTTTGGAAAACAAACACCAGGATGAGTAGAGTCTGGCCAATTTTTGCCTTGTTAAAAAACAACAACCCCCCCCCCCCCAAAAAAAAAAAAACAACACACAAAACAAAACAAAGAACAAAACTATTTCTAGAGCAAGAAAGAATAAAAGTGTGTATCATTTAGGTAACTTTTGGCCAAAAAAAGAGGCAGTGCCATTAATTAAAGCATTATTTCACCTTAACAAGATCTTGGAACAGGAACTCCCAAACTTCCCTCGGTGACTCGATAGTGTGTGAAAAGCCTGGTGCTGTCAATACCTCCACTGTCATCTTTCAAGAGTTGACCCTGTCTCCCCTCAGTGGCAACGAGGCTGCTGGGTGCCAAGTATCACACCTTCCACCACAGCATCCCAAGCAGGAAGGAATTTCCCCTCATTCTCTTCCCACTTAACAAATGGAAACTTTGCCAGAGAGACTTCCCATAGGTCTTATTAGCTAGAACCCGATCACATGACACCCCAACACCAATTGCTAGCAAAGGAGAATAGCTTAACACAGCTGGACCCCAAAATTCAGGCTTCTGTTCAAGGAAGAAGCCTGGCCCACAGGGGAGCCCTGGAGAACCTTGGAGACCCTACATCTGAGAACAGGACAAGAATATTTGTTTTGCTAATTCCAATCTGGGGCCAGATCTTTTTTCTTTTTCTTCTTAATGAAATTTTTTTTTTAAATATATTTTATTGAGTTTTTACAGAGAGGAAAGGAGAGAGATAGAGAGTTACAAACATCAATGAGAGAGAAACATCGATCAGCTGCCTCCTGCATATCCCCCACTGGGGAAGTATGCGCAACCCATGTACATGCCCTTGACCGGAATCGAACCTGGGACCTTTCAGTCCGCAGGCCGACACTCTATCCACTGAGCCACACCGGTTTCGGCTATGAAATTTTCAATAAAAAGAATAGATGCCACCTAGGACAGGATAGTTTTTACAGATTACCCCAAATCTCATGATCCTTTTGTTAGATGCTTTGGTGAATAAAGTGGTTTTAGTATGGTTTCTTAAGAGGTGTACATTGACCTCCTGGACTACCTAGAAATATTTTGATACTAATTGACAGTGATATTGTGAGAATAAGTTTTCAAGATGTTCTTAATAGAGCAAGTTTTGTTCAGTAGAGCACTTTCTAATTTACCTGCTTTTATATAAGTACTAGTAGCCCATCACGCAATATAGCGCGCAGTAGGCCGCCCGCCGCTTCTGCAGGAGCAGGCGGGAACCGCAGCACGCCTGCAAGATCCGTGCTGCTTTCAGGGGAGGTGGAAGCAAGCCACCAGCGCCCATGGGAGCCAGGAAGGAGCCATGCCACTTCCGCGGGAGCTGGGAGGCGGGAGGGAACCGTGCTGCTTCCCTGTGAGGTGGGCCCACCGTCTCCTCTATGGGCGTGCGTTCGGCCACAGAGGCTGCGGGCCGGCTCCCCATCCCTGTCCATGTCTGCTCCGGCTCCAGGAGGCCCGCCTGAGCCAGGGCACCCTGTCTCTGTCTCCGTCTCCGCTCTGGGTCTCACCTGCACATGTAACCTCCTCCTGGACCTCCACCGTGACCCGTTACGGTGTCCTGGCCTATTTTGCATATTTCCTCTTTATATGTATAGATAGATACATTGCCTGCAATCTAGGGTTAAAGGAATATGTACAGCATCTTTCTCTCCTCCCTTACTTTTTCTTCCCTCTTGTTTTACCTTTGACTAAAAGCTATTTCATTCTCAAGTTTTAGGAATGTAGTTTCAAGCAAAACATAAATTTTATTTTTATAGTACTTACCAGACTGTATTAAATAATAAATAAATGACGTGTTTTGTAAAATTATAAGGGATATTTCAGTAAACTCCGGTACCTCTTCCCAATTCCTTAAACCAAATCTTTGGTTATTGTAAAGAAAGGAAATTAAATTCCTAGGTTCTAGACTTTCAATCATGAAACTTTAAACGCTGGAATAATGTTACATTGTATGAATGTGATAATGTGTAATGCCTTCTTTTAGGTGGGAGAAGGAGAGAAGTTGGTGAGAGCTCTTTTTGCTGTGGCTCGAGAACTTCAACCTTCAATAATTTTTATAGGTAAGAACATGTTTACCTACTAAGTAAGTTGACCTTTTGTGAAATTTCCCTCTCCATATACAACGGGTATTACAGGAAAGCTTATTCGAAAGGAAAAAGTTTTCAAGAAAAACAACATTAAAGACTATCTAATGAATTGAATAGGACCCACTGTATTAATAATTGAAGTAGTAAACTAGATTAATCTCAGATAACTCATATAGGTTGGCTTTTAATTCACGTCTTATCCTTGTATTTCCTCTAGATGAAGTTGATAGCCTTTTGTGTGAAAGAAGAGAAGGAGAACATGATGCTAGTAGACGCCTAAAAACTGAATTTCTAATAGAATTTGATGGTGTAAGTATTGGTTATGATATTTTTAATGTGGTAACATTTTAATGTATATATTTTCCTATTAAATGGTCCAAATTAGAGATACAGATATCTTTATTATGTTTTACTTTGTTACTACTTTCTCTAAAAGTACTGAAAACAATATTTTTGGCTTATAGGTACAGTCTGCTGGAGATGACAGAGTACTTGTAATGGGTGCAACTAATAGACCACAAGAGCTTGATGAGGCTGTTCTCAGGTAGGAAGATTTATGTAGAAACACACATTTATGACAGATATGTGTAGTCATGTGTTCATCTCACATATTTCTTATTTCCTTCACTCTCATTTTGAAAACTAAATTCAGTCTTTTCTACCTTATATTCATCCTCTGGCCTCTTGTTATCAACTGAAGTTTTTGAGGACAGGGCCAGCAGGATATCAGGAAAACTGCTCATTTTATGGCTTTAGGCAAACTGCTTATTTCTTCTGGGTTGGATTAAATTATCCTACAACTTCAAAATCGATTCTTACCTTCTTTTACTGGGCTTCATGAGAAGCTGATAAAAACAGGTTTCATGGGAGTTATGTCGTGTTCTCTATTCTTATGTGTTAGAACAAATTTATCCCCTTCGTACTGGGAGGACAGTTTGATTCAGCATGAAATCATTGAGCCTTCCTTTCTTTTCCTGAGGAATCTATAACATTGTCCCATTGTTTCTAGGGTTGGATGTTGCAGTATAAAAATCTGAAGCCAGCCTACTTTTTATTAATATTTACGATTAATTTAATTTTTTTCTTCGTACTGGATACAGTTTCCAACTATTGAAATCTAGTTATTTGAAAAATATGTTGATTGATCTGTGTTTATTTTTCCTGGGATTTGATGTTCGTTTAAATTGATAGTTTGGAACCTCCTTTGTTTTGGGAAAGTTATTTTGAGTACTATCTTTGATTTTTTTTTTCCTAATTCATTTGTCTACTAATTTTTTTTTCTACACACAACTTATGCATTATGTTGCATCTTTTTTTCTTTCATCTCTGTAATTTCCATAATCATTTTAAACTTTTAGGTCTCTTTGTTTTGATTTGTCTGTTTTCCAGTTTGTTGTCCTTATTTCTTATCTCCTTTCTGCTACTACTTTGGCAACCTTTGTTTCTCTGGTGGTTTTTGTTTTCTTTTTTATTGCTTTCCTTATCTTTGTGGTCCATTTTTTCATCTCCCATTGTCTCATTTTCTTGAGCCTTTGTATATTCATTTTCATGAGCCCTTGTATCTCTGTGAACTCGTTTCATAGATTTTTTCCCATTAAATTATTATATTTCATGGTAAGCTATTTGGTTACAATTTTAATTCACTCTATGGCAGAATCCTGTTGTACATGTTCTCCATTTTATCTATGTTTTATTTATTGTATTCTTTACCCCTATTTTGACACTATTTTTTAAAAAATTGATTGTCTTTTGCCTGTTTTGCTTTATTTTTATTTGAATAGGGGGAGTTTTTGTAAAAAACCTAATTTTGGAAGGATATTATAGGAGGAGAGCTAGAAAATTAAGATACCGAACAAGTATTTTGAGTTGTCCCATGAATAGCCTGGACTGACAGGTAGTCTCACTAATTCAGTAGTAAAGCCATATCTGATAAACAAGTGTTTGTGTGTAAATAAGACATTGGGTTGATTTAGTCTTCTTCAACTAATAAAGGCAGTGTGTCATCTTGCCAGACAGACTGATGTCTTACAAAGATGATATGTCTTTGAGTTTCTTTGTTCAACCTCGCCTTCCTTGCCATTGCCCTGTTATTGGCCAAGGTTCACAAGATCTACGGAGGCAGTCTTCATAAGCTAGTTTAAATATGGGGAGTTTGGTTTTATTACCCCTCAGAATATGCTCTGTCTCTTTCCTTTGGAAAACTCTATTCTCTGACATCTGCCTGTAATCTGCAGTGTGTATCCTCCTTTCTCACTGTAATTTTCACTGCCCTATGCAGCCCTTTTTCATACATTTAAGTTATGTAAATATTACCTATTTAAAAATATATGAATATGTATTTTTATTTCAGAGAGAGGAAGGGAGAGGAAAAGAGACAAATAGTAACATGATGAGAAAGAAACATTGATCGGCTGCCTCCTGCACACCCACCCTCTGGAGATGGAGCCTGCAATCCGGGCATGTGCCCTGACTGGGAATTGAACCTGTGACATCCTGGTGCATGGAACAATGCTCAACCAATTGAGCCACACCAGCCAGCCTGTTACCTAGTTTCTTTATGATGAAATTTATTTTTCTGTTTTTGTTGTCCTTAGTTTTAGTTGTTTTTATTTTCGTAAAGAGAGCAAAGATGTTTTTATTAAAATCTTATATCAGATACTTTCTTCTAAAGTGTTATTGCATGTTAAAAACATGAACATACCGCCCTAGTTGGTTTGGCTTAGTGGATAAAGCATCTGCCTGTGGACTGAAGGGTCCCGGGTTCGATTCTGGTCAATGGCACATGCCCCGGTTGTGGGCTTGATCCCCAGTAGGGGGCATGCAGGAGGCAGCTGATCAGTGATTCTCTCTCATCATTGATGCTTCTGTCTCTCTCTCTCTGACCCCTTTCCTCTTTGAAATCAATAAAAAAATAAATTAAAAAACAACAACATGCACATACCTAGATGGTTAACTTGATTCTGACAGTATTGAATTAAGGACTTTAAAATATTAACTAGAGAGCTAGCCAGTTTAGTTCAGTGGATAGAGAGTCAGCCTATGGACTGAAGGGTCCTGGGTTCAATTCCAGTCAAGGGCACATGCCCTGGTTGTGGGCTCAATCCCTAGTTGAGGCGTGCAGGAGGCAGCCGATCAATGATTCTCTCTCATCATTGATGTTTCTCTCTCTCTTCCTCTCCCTCCCTCTCAGAAATCAATAAAAATATATATTTAAAATATTAACTGGAGAGTTTTAAAAGAGTAACTCTAAAAATAATTTTTTACATTGATGACTAAAATGCGTTCACATGCTTTGAGCTTTATACTTAAAGCTTTTTTCTTGTCATTGACTACTTAAACTGAGGTACCTTTAAATTCAAAATTCTATTTCTGAATCCTTCTTTTAGGCGTTTCACCAAACGGGTATATGTGTCTTTGCCAAATGAGGAGGTATGTGTTTGTGATTTTTTTTTTATTTTTATTTTTTAAGCAGAAGCAAGAACTACCACCTTGACAATATTGAGTCTTCCAACCCATGGTACAACCACTTGGGAAACAGTTTGGCAGTTTCTTAAAAAGATAAACATAAACTTATCATAAGATCCACCAGTCTCCCCAAGATAAATTAAAACATATATCTATAAAAAGACATGTGCAAAAATTTTTATGGCAGCATTATAAATAATAGCCAGGAACTACAAAGAATCTAAAATATTTATCAATTGGTGAATAGGTAGATAAATGAGGTATATCTACTTAATGGAATAATATTTAGCAACAAAAGGAATGAGCTACTTTTATGTGCTACTAGAGGCCCGGGGCATAATATTTGTGCACTGGGGCAGGGGGGCGGTGGAGAGGATCCCTCAGCCTGGCCTGTGCCCTCTCACAGTCGGGACCCCTCGCTCCTTACCACTTGGCTCATTGCTCCTTAGCACTGCCGCGGAAGCGGGAGAAGCTCCCTCCATAGCAGCTGCACTCACCAGCCATGAGCCCTGCTTCTGGCTGAGCACACTGACCACCACGGTAGCTCCTGCATTGAGTGTCTGAACCCTGGTGGTCAGTGCATGTCATAGCAACCAGTCGTTCTGCCCGTAGTTCCGCCATTAGGTCGATTTGCATATTAGGCTTTTATTATATAGGATAATGTGGAGGAACCTCAAACACATTATACCAGTGAAAGACACCAGATGTAAAATATTACACATCATGATTCCATTTATATGAAACTAGAGGCCCAGTGCATGACATTTGTGCACTGTGGGGCGGGGGTGGGGTCCCCTCAGCCCAGCCTGCACCCTCTCAGAGTCCAGGACCCCTCAGGGGATGTCAAACTGCTGGCTTAGGCCCAACAGTCAGACATCTTCCAAAGGGCCCTTAGCATTGCCACAGAGGCGAAAGAGGCCCCTGCCACCCCTGCTGCGCTCGCTAGCCATGTGACTGGCTTCTGGCTGAATGGTGCTCCCCCTGTGGGAGCGCACTGACCACCAGGGGCAGCTCCTGCATTGAGTGTCTGGCCCCAGATGGTCAGTGCAGGTCATAGCAACCGATCATTCTGCCATTCAGTCAATTTGCATATTAGCCTGTTCAGAAAAGGCAAATTCTAGAAACATAAAGCAGATCCATGATTTGCTAAGGCTAAGGGTCAGAGTGAGGATTAACAGCAAACAGGCATGAGTAAATTTTCTGGGTGATAGAAATGTTCTAAACTGGATTATAGTGATGGTTGCAAAACTCTTAAGTTTATTAAGTCATTGAATTACAATGCATGAGATTCATGGATTCATACTTTTATAAAACTGTCTTGTTTTTGTTTGTAAATTATATTGTCTAGCTCAGACCTTTAATATCCTTGGTAGTAACAATAGCTATGTCATTAATGCTTTATTTCAATTATCTTTACCTCTCTCAGGAACTGTCAAGAAAAAGGTAGTTTTAAAGGACATGAGTGAGACTTTAAAATGTAGAGTGATTTGTGTAAGATCATTCAGTTCCTAAATGAGAATTGGGGTTTGAACCTGATTCCTAGTATTTTATTAAGCTAATTCTTAGGACTGATAATTTTTTAACATTTCTTTTCAGACACGACGACTTTTACTAAAAAATCTATTATGTAAACAGGGAAGCCCATTGACCCAAAAAGAACTAGCACAACTTGCTAGGTGAGTAATTTGATTTGGTCTGTTTTACAGCTTTCTTTTTTTTTTTTAAGGAATCTTTTTCTGTTTTGTTTAAAGTAAGCTCAAGTATAAAATGAGTAGTGTCTCATCCTCTGCTTCATTTACCTTCTTTCTTATCTCTTATTCTTATACGTATGGTACCTAAATTTCAATTTCTAGATCCTATACAAGACATGACCTAAATATGATGGTATTATATTCCTTTTATAAACTTATTAAAGCTTATAGTGTTATTAAAGTAATTTTTTAAATGTAAAATATCTCATATCTGCCCACACCAACATACATTTTCTTATAAACTTCTTTTGCATTACACATAATTTTCTTTAACTTTTACATTTTTAACTTTTTTTTTGAGTGGTACACTAGTGGAAACTAGTATGAGATGCATTTGTGAATTTTAATCACTGGAAAAAACATCATGAAGTAATATTCAGTAAGTATGTGAATAGCTAGTAATTTTAATAAACATTGAGTTCCTAGATAAGAATGAAAAAAGAACAAATGCATTACTTTGAAATAGTTGAGATCCTTCTTTGTCATTCCAATAAAGAATTCTGCTAATAATGTTTGATCTGTGTTCTTATTTAACATAGTACACAATATCTAAATGCTTTCTTTCCCTGTTTTATT